TTTATGATGATTACAATGCTTTTGTTGTAAATTATTTTTGTTGTCCTGCCCTTAATGATCACCTCATATCTTATTTTCTTAGTTTTCTGTGTAATAGCTCCACTTTCCCCCTAAATTCTCTGCCAGGGCTCCAGTCCTCTACGACTGATGGGCTCAGCATTGTGCTCACTCTAGGGGCAGTGCAGTGCAATGCAATATTGTCAAAGTGCGGTCCCGGGGCCAGCAACGTCAGCCCCGCTTTCACGGGGGACCTTGTTAGAAATGTGAATTATCAAGCCCTAACTGAGACTTATGATTAGCCACCCTGGGGGGAGGGGCAGCAATCTGGGCCCTAACCAGCCCTCCAGCATGATGCTGATATGGACTTAAGCTTGAGAACATCTGTATAATGGTTAAGAGCTTGGGTACAAAAACCTAAGGCTGCCAGGGTTCAAATCCCAGCCGTTCCACCCGTTCATGATGCCGTTTCCAAGGCTCGATCTTCCCGTTCATAAAATGGGGACAAACCGTCTCTCCCATGTAGTTGTTATAAGCTGCATGGTGCCAGGCAGCATGACACCCTCGTTGTTCCTGGAGATGGCCCCTAGAGGCATCTACCTCAAGCTTCTGTCCTTTAGAACCTCCATGGCCCTCTGAAGTCCTCCTCCTAGACCCCTGTGTCAGTTTCTCTTCCCTTAACCCCCGCCCACTCTCAACTCCCCTGCTACGCCTGCCCTGTCACATGATTCCCTGCCACAGCCCCATGCCACGGCCAGCCCTGCCTCCTGATTTCCCACTAACCTTTCTCTCTGCCCATCAGAGCTGCCCCAGTCCCCTCTCCCAGTTTCCATCCTTCTACAGTCCCCCTGCCTCCCTGGCCAGAGCCCCCTGCTTTCTTGTGGAACCCCCCCTCCGCTGCTTTCCCGTGGAACCACCCCCAAGGCTGTCTTCACCCCCTGAATTACGAGGATAGGAAGGAGCGTTACTATTCTGCCTTCTCCCTCTGTGACAATCCTTAGGATAAGGTCCTACTTGAGTGTCAGCTCTCATCAAACACACCGCTGATCACGGTGCTTGAAATATTGCAAATGGTGGGCAAATCCAAAGCCCTCACCGTGGCCCACAAGTCCCTGCCTCTTGACAATCCCCCATGCTCCCATCTCTTTCCTCATTTCCCACGGCTCCTCCCCATTCCCTCTGCTCCCGCCACATCCGCCTCCTCGCACACCCCCACCTCAGGGCCTTTGCACTTGCTCTTCCCTCTGATGTGAACTGTTCTTCTGGTAAATCTGCATTTGGCTGGTGATTCTTTTACTTCCCGTCAGGTCTCTGGCTCAAAGATCATCTTCTCAGCGAGGTTTTCCAAACCTTCCATTCTAAAAACAGCCACTCCCTTGCTGTCCTTTTACCTGCTTTATTATCTTTCGTGGAACTAATGTGATTTGGAATCCTATAATCCCACTCTGTCTTCTCATCTGTCTGGACCTACGAGGCCGGGGCCTACTCAAAGGGCCTCAAACCCGCACTGCTGCCCTTCCCTTTTTCCTCCTTCTGTCACTAAATACTGAGTTCCAGCCGAGTGCCCAGCAGGTTTGAGATGCCAGGGATATGGAGGTAGGCAGGTTTGTTGAGAATGCTTCTCTTGGGAAGGGCTGAGCAGGGTAAGGAGGGGTGAAAAGCCTGGGGAGGGGAGGGGTCTCAGTTCAAACCCCAGCTGTGTAACCTCCCTGTCTCTTCCTCTGTACCATGGAGCTACCGGCAGTAACTACATCACGGGACTGGCATGGGAATTCTTTGTTCATTTCTGTGCTTGACGGATAGAAAACCTGAGTGAAAGTTGGCTATTAGCCATAATTAGAAAAACAGGTTACTGCTGGAAGTTAAGAAAAACAAACAAAAAAATTTGTCAAGCCATCACAAATTTTGCAGTAGCCTGGTCCTTCTCACAGCACACAATAAAATTACCACATCTTGGGTTCTCCTAGGACTTCAGACCCAATCTCTCTTAAAATTCCAAGTCAGGAAACTAGTGGGAACAGAGACTCTACTGGCCTTGCGCTACCCGTAGGGCCGGCGACGCAGACCGCGGCCAGCTCCACCTGAGCGCCGTGCAGCCTTCGGTCCTTGGAAGCTATAAGTGAAGAGATGGGTGTCCCCACAGCAGGGTTTTGCTTTTTCACCTTTTCAATCGCGTTTATTGCAGTATAATTTGCATGCAATAAAATCCCATCACCCAGAAAATTCCCTCGTGTCCCTCAGTGGCCAATTTGTACCCCAAAGATAACCACTAGTATGATTTCTGCCACCATGGATCAGTGCTGCTTGATTCTGTAATAGCAGACTTGCATGTGTGATTTTTCTCCCTTTGTTTTCTTTTTAGTGTTCTTGCGGTGAAGCTGTAAAATGAATGTACATAAACTGCACCTGTCTAATGTATACAATTTGAAGTGTTTTAGCATATGCCCCCCCCTTGAAACTGTTAGCACAAGATGATTTCAAGATAATGAGCATATCCATCACCCTGAAAAATTTCCTCCTATACCTCTGCATCCCACCCTTCACCTCCCCCACTAACTACTGCTGTGCTCTATGTCACTACAAACTGGTGTTCGTTTTCAAGAATTGTTTGCAAGAATGAACACTTCTATGCCTGGCTTGTTTCATTCAGCGTAATTATTTTGATTCATCCATGTTGTTGCATGGATGCTTTATTCCACCACAGCCCCTATTCTGCCCCAAGCAGCATTTCATAGTATAGGAATTCCACAACCTGGTTATCCACTTACTGTTGATAAACATGGGCGTGTTTCCAGCTTGGGACTCTTATGGGAAAAGCCACTATAAGCATTATTATGCAAATGTATTTGTGAACATAAGTTTTCATTTCTCTTGGGTGAATACTAAGGCACAGAATTGCTAGGCCGTAGTAGTTGCATAAAAAACTGCCAAACTCTTTTCCCCAAAGTGCTTATACAATTTTACCCTCTCATCAACTGGCTGAAATTTCCCATCTATCTTGTTTCTGTCTCTCGGTTTCTGTGCTCATTCTCTTTTCCTGAAATGCCTTTCTACCAGTTTTAGCGTGGCTGGCTTCGGGTCTTAGCCTGGACATCATATTCCAAAGAGACTGTGAAGGCTGAACTGCAACTGTCCCCACCAACCTCACCTATACCCACATTTGCATATTGAATGCACAAGCCTCCAGTGCCTTAGAATGCAACATACTTGGAGAGAAGATCTTTAAAGAGATTAAATTCAAATGAGCCCATTAGGGTGGGTTCCTAATCCAATATGACTTGTCCTTCAAAAGGAAAAGATAGCCCAGGAAAGGTTTTGTGAGGACAGTCAGCAGGAAGGACATCTGAAAGTCAAGGAGAGCGGTCTCAGGAGAAACCGAACCTACCAACACTTCGATCTGGGACATCTAGTCCCCAGAACTATGAGAGAATACATTCCTGTTAAGCCAGCAGTCTGCAGTATTTTGTTATGGCAGCCCTAGCAGACTAATACAGAGGCCTTTCAATCACCATTTTCCAACCATTATAATAATAATAATAATAATAATAATAATAATAATAATAATTGACTCAGGTAAGAATTATCAGTAAATGCTAAAACCAGTGGGTAAGACTCTGATAAAGAACATGATAGTCTCAAAGTATTTTCGTACAAGATACTAAGTTACAAGGAAAAAATAATTAACTTTTCTGTGGAGCACCATGGCAGACACCACCTTAATCCAACGATCAAAGTTAGCATCACCCACATTGGGATAAACCATTGCCATGGGGACTCCCACTGAGATACACTTACAGCACAACTTTCTGTGGTATCCGTGACAAAACGCATAACCTGATATAATATAACCTAATATAATATTTTCTCATAATCTAATCATGAGAAAAGATCAGACATCCAAATTTAAGGACATCTGCCAAACAACTCTCCAATACTCTTCAAAAACGTCAAGGTCATGAGAGACAAAAAAGGGCTAAGGAACTAAGTGCCTTTACATATTAAAGGAAGCTAAAGAGACAGGTGATCCCCAATTGGGTCTAAATGCAGCAAGTGATCCCAAATTGGGTCTCTGGGAATACCTTAAAGGACATTGTTGGAATAATGAGTAAACTTTAAATATGGAAGCTGTATTAAATAAAAGAATTGTATCATTGTTAAAGGCCTTGATTTTGATCGTTGTACTGAGATTAGCCACGAGAATGTCCTTGTTCCCAGGAAATACACACAGAGTATATGGTGAGAAAGATATATGTCTGAAACATACTCCAAAATGATTAAGGAAAAAACAAAATTCCTGTCTTATACACACACACACGGGACATGATAATGAAATTGCAGCAAAATAGAACAATGTTATTCTGGTTGAAAAGTATATGAAATTCTTCACTACACTTGCAATTTACACATATTCAAGAATAAGTAAAATTCCTTATAAAAAGAATAACAGTCTTTAAGTGACCACACTATCAGAAGTGGCCTGTCCCTAACCCCCAGGCACTCTTTAGTTCACTTCTCCATCGCACTTATTGTCAAAAGTTATCCTGTATTTTTAACAATACCTAACTTGTGTACAAAGCCCTGCCCTATTCTAAGTGCTTTAACTGTGTAACCTCAGTGAATCCCACAACTCCGTTCTTCCCACCTTACAGATGAGGAATGGAGAAAAACAAGTTTATTAGCATGCCCAAGGTGACCTACAGGATTTGTCTCCCGTGGAACCGAACCTCAACCAAGGTTAAAAACTGTTGTTCGCTGCTCTTTCCCCAGCGACGTAGAAGGGTGCCCAACACATAAGAATTTAATAAGTATCTGTGGATTCAGTTAACAAATATTGGGCATTTATTAGGCATTGGGGTACAAAACAATGAACTAAATATTTTTTAAAAATCCATGCAACACTGGGAGGTAAGGCTCAGTCTACCTGTTTTGCAGAAGAGGAAAATGAGGCTCGGATCTGAGAAATATTTGCCCAAGATCCAGGGGCTAATTGGCGGCAGGGTGTTAACTCCAACCTAATCCGGGCGGTTCCAGGGAACGAGCTTTAAATCAATCAAACCGACAATCCAGTCAGCCAATCAGTATTTATTGGGCACCTACTGCGTGCAGTTCACCTCCTGCAGCACTGACGAGGAGACTTCGGTGCGTAGGGAGCCGTGGAGACCCGCGGCCGCAGCGGATCGACGGAATTTGGCGCCTACTTTTTGTAGGTTGGGTGTTCTCGGCTGTGATTGGGCGCGGTGTGCGGCTGCTCCGTCGACGTTGGCAGAACCCGGGAGATTTGCTCTTCGACCGGCCTCCGGGGAATGGGACACCAGGAGCCCCCGCTGGCCCGAGTGCCCGCGGGATGTGCGGTTTATATAAAAAGGTTATGTAAAGGGATCAGCCGGCGCGAACACGTGGAGAGCCGCGGGTGCCTGGACGCCGGGTTCTGCCCCGCGCGCGCCGCTGCTACGTCCAGTGAAGCAGCAAGTTCCGGCACACGCCAGGCGCGGGCCACGGCCGCTCGCGCTGCTCGGTACCGAAGGCTGCGCAGCCCGGGAGCCCGAAAGTGGAGGGGCTCAGGCCAGGTAGGTACGGGTACGGGCTGCGGAGTAAAAGTAAGTGCCGAAGCTAGAGCTTCCCCCCCGCCGCTTCTGGCCCTTGGTAAGGGTGACTGGGCCGTGGACTTGGCGCGCCCCGGAACGCCGAGATTTTAAGCCAACCCTTTCCACACGCCACCCTCGGGCATTTGGGTCGGTCCGCTGGGCTTCGCTCGGACTTAATTCAATGGACGGTTTACACGCTGGAAAACACTAGGCGGGACGCAGAGAGGGGGATTCCCTGTAGGGCCCAGGCAGGTTAAAAAGATTTCCACAGTGCAAATTGCTTCTTAGGGAGATTTTAATAAGTGGTAAAGAATGGTAGTCCTCGTTTTTACAAGCCCTGTAGGATAATTTAACTGGGAAGGTGTGTGTGGGGGTGTTACTTTTCTTTCCGGTTCCCCTCAGAGCCACCGTCTGTGGTTTCGTCTTTCCCGCTTTCCCCTCCCCTCCCTGGTTGTTTCGGCAGCGGTGGCTTCGGTCTTAAAGGGGCCGCGGAGGCCGGAGGAGGTGGGGCGCTCTGGCCTGCGCTCCTTGCCTCCCCACTTCGGCCTGGTCGTTTAACCGATTCTTTCGCCCGCAGATCACAATCCAAGCTCCCGCTCCTCCGCGTCCCGGGGCTGGACGGAGGGATGAGGCAGGGGGAGCCCGGGCAGCACCGTTGCTGCTCCCCCCACCGCCCGCAGCCATGGAAACGGGGAAGGAGGACGGCTCCCGCAGAGGTACACAAAGCCCCGAGCGGAAAAGGCGAAGCCCAGTGCCGCGGGCGCCCGGCGCGAAGCTGAGGCCGGCGGCTGCGGCCCAGGCCATGGATCCGGTGGCGGCCGAGGCCCCCGGCGAGGCCTACCTGGCGCGGCGGCGGCCAGAAGGCGGCGGCGGGTCCGCGCGGCCGCGCTACAGCCTGTTGGCGGAGATCGGGCGCGGCAGCTACGGCGTGGTTTACGAGGCAGTGGCCGGGCGCAGCGGGGCCCGGGTGGCGGTCAAGAAGATCCGCTGCGACGCCCCAGAAAACGTGGAGCTGGCCCTGGCGGAATTCTGGGCCCTGACTAGCCTCAAGCGGCGCCACCAGAACGTGGTGCAGTTTGAGGAGTGTGTCCTGCAGCGCAACGGGCTAGCCCAGCGCATGAGCCACGGCAACAAGAGCTCGCAGCTTTACCTGCGCCTGGTGGAGACCTCCCTCAAAGGTAAGACCACTGCGGGCCATCCCGCTCGCACGTAGGGCCTGGACCGGCTGCTGTGGACGGCTCAGCCCAAAGTGGGCTCGGGACCGCTAGGCCCTGGTCCTGTCACCTTGGGCCCAGACACACCCTCCTCTCCGAGGCCCAGGCACTGGGGCCCTGGTCTCTGCTTTGGACCTAGGATGAAGTCCTTAGCACAAACGTTACCTGGTATTTTCATAACAAGCGCTCGCTAAATTCTAACTATTGTCTTATTAATTGCTCAATATGCGTGAGCCATTATTATGAACTAAGATTGGTCGAGGAGAAGAGGGGGTTGGGTTCAGGGTTGGTGGAAGCCCCCTCACTCTCTAGGGCCTCTTCCCTTTCCCTCCCAAAGCAAACAAAAAGAAAAAAACTTTCCTCCCTGTCTGGTTCCAGATATCCTCACTGCCCCCTCCCCCAACTCCACCCGCCAAACTCTTGCTTCCTACTCTTTCCTCCTGAGACCACCAGCGTTTCATCCCAGGGCAGTCAAGCAAACTGTCGGTTTTCTGGCTGCATCCTCTGGGGCCTGCAGAATAATAACCCCACAGGTGGGCCCAGAGCTGTCACATAACAATACCTGACATCTTTCTTTACTTTGCATTCTTAATCTATCTCTTAATCCTCTGAGGCTGGCATGGAAGTGGTTTTATTTATGGGAAAGACAGGACTCAGTGAGCCAAGGGGACTTTGCGGTGCTTGGGACAGCTAACCCTAGTCTCCCAGTTTTCACTGCAGTTACGGAGTGTGTTCATCCTGAGGCCTCAGGTCTCACGTATCTTGTATGTGCTGAATGAATCCAAGGATTTGTTCAAAGAGGAGAGGGCCAGGGGCCTTGTTCAGGGGAGAGGCTACTAATCTGAGTCCCAGCTATGTCTTAGATGTCTTCCAGGAGTGACTTCAGGTAATAATTCTAAAAGTCAGTCTTCCCCTCTGTAAGTGGAGAAATTAAGGATTAAACATGAACAAAATAAATCGATGAAGGTTAATCAGCTTATAAAGGAAGTTGCATTGTACTCCTGGTTTCCTTACACTTTTTATAGATCAAGTGATATGAACCCAGATTTGTCTTGATTCAAGGCCTAGGTCTTTTGGAATGGGTAATGGTGCCTTTCCTACCCCCAGATGAACTAGAGCTGACCTTTAAGAATGGGTAGGATTTGGGGTGGAGTTGGGTAAGGCATTTTGTTTGGAGCTTTTGCCTGACCTTAAGAGCCTACAAACAGGGCCTAAGAGAACTCCCTGTCCCATTTCAAGTCAGTGTTTGGACAGTGAGCTGAGGAACATGATGAGTATCACCTGGGGTCCTTTTTCAAAGTAGGCTTTTGCTTCTTCTGCCCACCCCTTCGCCATCTATCCTGAAAAGCCCACCCTCCCCCCAGTGTTTTGTTTGGGAAAGACTTTCTGGTAGATTTTTTTTTTTAAGCTCACCTGTATTTTACAAGCCCTTCACTTCTTTCTCAGGCTGTCCTCCACTGACCTCCACTGTGGTTAATGAGTGGTCTGGACTTCAGTGTACCTGACTGCCTTGGGGTGTGGGAATTTGCTTTGCCAAGCAATCCTCTTCTGTTTTCAGTTCATTGATGCCAGTCTTGAAACTGCAACCTAGGTTTGAAGTTTTTTCTCTCCCTACATATAAATAGAGTTGACCCTTGAACAACGCAGGGGTTAGGGGCGCTGACCTCACCCTCCCAACATAGCTGAAAATCTGTGTACAACTTGACTCTCCCCAAACTTTACTACTAATAGCCTGCTGCTGACAGGAATCCCTACTGATAACACAAACAGTCACTTAACGTGTATTTTGCATGTGTATTATATACTGTATGATTACAATAAGGTCAGCTAGAGAAAAGAAAATGTTAAAATCATAAGGAAGAAAAAATACATTTACAGTATGTGTTGAAAAAATCAGTGTATGAGTGGGCCTGTGCAGTTCTAGCCCTTGTTGTTCGATAGTCAACAATACTGTTAAAACTTTCCCCACCTGTGGAGTTTGTTCCAACTCCACGGGAAACAGGCGGCTTTGGAGTTAGACTCAATTTTAGTCCTGGCTTGTCTAAACTGACTGCATGAGACTGGAACAAGTAGTTTCAAACTTGTGGGGAGCATTGCTTTATCCCCAAGACAAGGGCACCTATGTCGTGGTGGCCTGTGCAGCCTGGGAGCGCCAGTGAGGGCTCCAGATCAGAGGAACTCACTGCCTCAGTATGGTCAGGCTCTATTCGGAATCTTCTCCCATCACCTCCCTTGAGATTCACAGTATTCTTGGTTGAGTTTCCCGGACCGGTTCGACCATGGAACACATCCTATTTCCTGTGTTGTCAGGACTCCAAGTTGACAGAAACAGTGGTATTTTCTTCCTTCCTTTGTGCACTATCACAGGCCTAGAGAAATGAAAGATTTTGCTTTAGGTCACATACTTAAATATGTCCCTTTCAGTAGTTTAGAGTCTTAAAATATTTCACCCTCTGTTACCGGTCAGGCAGTGTTCTGGGCTGGGGAAGTGGAGGTGATGGCTTCACTCTCTAGTGCTCTGTTTATGAAACTAACATTGAAATGCACATGTCAAGTGTTACTTTAGAAAGCAGTAAATAGGTATGGGTGGGTTGCTGTTAATATTAAAGTGGAGAACAAGTTCTTGCTATTAATATTAAAGTAGGGAACAAAGACCCAGTTACTCCTTTTTCTGGGCTTCAGCTTCCAAAGTTTAGCAGTCTTAATCTGCCCCGGGGTGCTGACTTGACAGGATACTGATATTATTCGGAAATGTTAGAGCTGGAAGGAATCTTAGAGATAATCTGATTCAGTGCTATCACTAACTAGATCCTCTGCAGCCACCTTTTCCCAGCCTTTGGCAATTTAGGATAATTTTGAAACCGACCAAAAGTGTTAATCTGCCCTAAAGTCACAATTGAACCAAATCCACCTATAGGGCATACCTTGGAGATACTGAAGGTTTGGTTTCAGACTACCACAATAAAGTCAGTCCTAATCTTTTTGCTAGTGGAGGGTCTTCAGTTGGTTTTAAAAAAAGGAAAGTCTGTGAAGCGCGATAAAATGAGGTATGCCTATACTCTTACTGAAGCCCAATTCGGTTCTTTAATTCTTTAGCTCTCCTGTATTTTATAAGCTCTTCACTTCTCAGACTGTCTTCTCGCTGTGGGTAATGAAGGGTTTGGACTTGCCCCGAAGGAACGTAATTGGAAAAGTTTGAGGACCTGTAGAAGACTGAAATGCTAATCAGGGTCACAGGAGGAAAAAGCAAATTGGCTCATTAACAAGCGCTTTGTACTGAATTAACAGGAATGAGAATCAGGAGTTGGCAGAGGAGGTGGGCTTGAAAGAAGGCAGTCTAGGACCGTGTGGATAGGTAGGGAAGACAGAAGGTGGAGTAATTTATTTCACAGTTGAGCCAAATAGAGAATAGTGTTTTTCCCTACATCAGCATCAACTCTCTCGTGAATACTCAGAAGGCATTTTTATAGGCTTCACAAATTCTTTGACATATAAATAATCTAGTATCCAAAAGAAAAGGGAAACTTCTTAATGCAGTTCTTGGTCTCCTGCAACTGCATTTAATAGATGTCTGTCTCTGTCCTTTCTTTCTCTCTGAACACACGCCAGACAAGTCCTACCCAGGGCATCATATAGACAACAGATGCTGCAGAGTCGGTGGCGGTCTTCAATGTCTGACCTGGCCCCCTGTTTCACAGGGAAGGAAGCGGAAGCCCATACAAGGCACAGGACTTGCCCCGAAGGAGTTAGTGGTAGCATTCAAACCAGCCTCCTAGGCTTTTTAAAACCAGATTAGCAATCCTGTAAATTATTTGGTTGATGAGTTAGTGTCTCTTGAACTTGAAATACTTTTTGCAAAAAGGAGTTAAGGCATCAGCAATTCATCTTTGCCTCTTTGTTTCCATTTCTAAAGGACCCTGTCCTGACAGCACCTAAAACTTAAGTTCAAGATTATTGCCTCTTAGGAGACAGCAGGTGAGCCCGAGCTCGTTGTCAAACTCAGAAATTCTGGTGCCCTCTCTAAAGCACACACTGATCCTAAGGAACAAACAGACAAACAGACCAAACCAGGACAAACTCTCAAGGCTTGTGAAACCAACCTGGAAAGCTGGGAACCTAGCTTACTGAACACGAGATCTGCTTTACCAGTTATTTGATGTTTGTTGTTCTCAAGTTATCTTTAGGTGGCTTGACATGGGTAGGAATCTGGGCCCTTGAGGGACAGTCTTGTCTGCACCGGTGCCCGGTGGTGGCTGTGAGCCAGGCACTGCATTGTAAGAGGCTATGCAAAGGTTTGTCATTTGGGCAGAAGAGATGTGCCCACATGACCACAGCCCAGGGTCATGAGTGATGGGTATTCTAGAATACAGTAGAGGTTCCCTCTGGGAGTGTAGAGGCAAGGGGAAACCGGGAAGGAGGTGGTCTTGGTAAGTTCAGTGTGGAGGAGTGAGGGTCTTAGCAGTGGATTGGTTGTCAGCCTGCGGACTGCCCCCAGCCCCTTGAATGCCTAGGGAAACCTTAGTCTTAGCACTAGGCCACCCCTGCGCAGGCCTCTAGAAAGCTCTGAATGCTCTGCTGTTGCCTGGGGCCTCAGAGTACAGGGATCTCCCAGATAAAGGCAGAGGACTAGATGGCGATTGTTGTCTGTGGTGACAGTGACATAGATAAAAGGTGGCATTAGGGGCCTTGGAAATTAATGGGAAACAGTACAACACTGGTATTGACTTGGAGTCAGGAGGTCTTAGTCCCAGTGTCACCCTGCTAATAAGAGCTAAAACTTACTGATTGCGATGTGCCAGGTCTGTCCTAAAGGTTCTATACCTATTAACTGACTCAGTCCTCAGAAGCTTTGGAAGTCAGGACTGGGATTAGCCCTGTTTCACAGGTGAAGCACCGAGGCTGCTGAAATGGCCCAGGGTGAAAATGCTAACCCAGCCAGGATCCAAGCCGCCCTCCATTCTAGA